TTTTTGTACCAGAGATCGAACTCGGGTCTTTGCGCTTGCAAGGCAAGCGACAGAACCTCTGAGCTAAATCCCCAGCCCTACAAAGGAGCTCTTGATGGGGCGGTTGGAGGCTGCTCACCTTGGGCTGCCTGGCTCTTTGGGGTGCAAAATACAGCTTCCTCCCACTTCTGACACAGTAATTCTCTAGACTTTCCACGGAAGCTCGAATTTATGGGCCCCATTTCTGTTCAGGGGCCGTTACCTCTCAGGCTTCCTCCCCAGTCTCCCGCCCCAGTCCCCGCACCTTGACAGTGTCCAGAGGGTGCCCCACAAACACCAAGCACACGCCGCCAAAGCCTCCGGCTAGCAGGTTCTTGAGCGGGCTGATAGGCCTCGGCTTGTCTGCCATGGTCAGTCAGGAGTCGTTCCGTCAGTTTTGCTCTGCTGCCCCAGCTTTAGAGCCGAGCCGCCAGACCTTTCACCCACTTTGGTGGAGCGGGGCTTGAGCCCGGGACAGGTCGGTAGGAGGGCCCAGTAGGCTGGCAGGGTTTCCGCCCGGGACAGCTTCCGGCATTCTCCCCGCCCCTATGGGCGTGGCGCGGGCGGGGTTTGGGGGTGCCGCCAAATGGGTTTATTTTTCCCGGAAGTATTCCTGAATTTGGTTTTCTTCTCTGGCGTCTGGGTTAACTATCTCCGCAGAGGTCGCTTTGCACCCTGTTATGTGTCAATCCTTAACACTTCCATATTATCACATAAGGAAGAGAACAATTTTTTAACTTTAATACATTCTCCCAAAACCAATTTTTACTATCTCATTGGGCACACTGTTCTGGGCAGCTGATAGTTTTTTCACACCAAGACTTTCTCAGTGAAGGAAGCAGTGCTTTAATTGTATGAAGTGTTTGCCTAACAGGTGCAAGGCCGTGGATTCTGTTCTATCTCCAACACCACCACCACACACACACACACACACACACACACACACACACACACACACAGCCTGGCACAGTAGTACACCCTATAAGCCCAACTGCTAGAGAAGATGTGGCAAGAAGATGGCAGTTTAAGGGCAGCCAGGGAAACTTAGTGAGACTGTCTCAAAAGAATTTTTTTTAAATTTTTTGAGAGAGTCTCACTTTGCAGTTTAGGCTGGGATTGCAGCCAGTCGCTCTGCCAGGCATGCTGATTATCACCACACCTGCCTCAAAATAAAATTTTAAACTGGAACCTGGTGTGTGCACACCTGTAATCCCAGCACTTGGGAGGCTGAGGCAAGATGATTGTCATGAGTTTGAGGCCTGGACTACATAGTGAGTTCAAAGTCAGCCTTAACTATATAGCGAGACACTGTCACAAAAAAAAAAAAAAATTGGGCGGGGGGCTGGGGATTTAGCTCAGTGGTTTCGCCGCCATTCCTGGTACCAAAAAAAAAAATTTTTTTTTTCTTTAACTGGGCAGGGTGGTGCATCCCTATAATCCCAGCCCCTGGGTGGCTGAGGCAGAAGGATTCCATAACTTCAAGGCCAGCCTGGGTTACATAGTGAGTTCAAGGCCAGCCTGAACTACATAGCAAGACTATTTTTCAAACTAACAAACAATAGATTTGGCTTTATTCATTACAACATGAAATGAGCATACCATTTGACTCACCAAATCCATAGGAATAAAACCCAAAACTTTTTTACAACTATCCAAAAAGAAGTATATTCAAGGATAGTCACCAAAACAGTGTGTGTGTGCACGCGTGTGTGTGTGTGTGTGTGTGTGTGTGTGTGTGTGTACTGGTACCAGGTATTGAACCCAGAGCCTTTAACTAAACTATATCACCAGTCCTTTTTAGAAAATTTTTTTTCTCAATGAATAAGTTTATTGGTTGTTATCTGAAAAACCTTCATAGAAAATTTGGTTTAACTCTCAGTAGCCTGCTCCTGAGCTCTGAGGAAGCTTGCCTTCTTTTGAGCTACCCTATCTTCTGGGCAAGGGACATTTTGGGACAGTTCCACCTCTCATTTTAACTTCTCTCTTCAGCTTCTTTTCATAGACTGGATTCTCTCATATAACAGCATGAGCTTTCTTATACATCTCCTCCATCATGTCTGGAGTTACATTGTTCTTTATGTACTGAGAGAACCATTTCTTGTAACCATCTTCATCTTCTTCCATTAGGTAACACATAATCGGCAATGTTCTGACCCATGATGTGCTTCTGATGTACTCTGGCATTTAACTCCTTGCTTTCAGAATCATAACCAGGGAATCATTTGGTACTGTGAGGGTTAGACAAGCCTCCATCCACAGCACCCTTCAGAGCTCCAAAAACTTTATTGCCAGTTGTAGTTTGGCAAGGCCTGCATCCAAATAGCAGGTGAAGGCACCAGGTTGACCATCAATGCTTTCCTCATTGTATTCATCCCCAGTCACCTCCACCTGGCCTTCATAGATCTTATCCATGCCAAACCTATTAAGAAGCCTGCCGGCCAGCAGCAAACCAGTACAATATGCTGCAGCATAATTTGTTGGGCCAACTTTCACACCATATTTTGGTAGTTCATATGCATATGCTGCGCAGACTGTCATATTCCCTTCAATATAGGCATAAGCAATCTGACACATGATATCTCTGTTAGTTACACGAACTATCATCCTGTACTTAGGTGTGTTGTACTTATTTTTGTCCTGGATCACCAAGCATTTCCGAGCATAGTAATCAGTTTTGCCCTCTTGTCTTCTTCTAAACTTCACTTAGTATGTCTTAAAGTGGGCCTTATTCTTGACAACTTTAACAAACCCCATCCTGTGCAATAAAGACTCGCTTATGCGGCTCCTCACAGACCTGCAGGCCTAGCAGTGCTACACAGGGGAATAGTAGAAATTTTTTATTTGGAGACAAGTTCTCACTAAGCCACTAAGTTGCCAAGGCTTTGGGGCAGGGACCTGCAGAGGCAAAGAGGTGGCTCCTGAAGGTGACCTTTCTATGATGTGCCCAGGAGGGATTCGGACAGCAAAGTGACGTGATCGGAGGCATGTTTTAGAATAACGCAGCAGTGGAAATGGAGCCAAGGATGGTGAGGAGAGATCAGGTTCTTCTGGATTCAGTCCTGCTTGCCTGAGTTTCCTGCCCGAATTCTAGGGACACACAACGGGGACAGCAGCCTCCTACTGGAACCAAAACAGGGATTCCCGGTGGATCTGTTCACATCTACTATCCCTGCTGCCCAGAACACAGCCTGAGATATAATCGGTTGTTTTTTAAATTTACAAATGTAAAGAGGGCATTCCTCCCTGTGTAAGAGGAGAGGACCATACTGCCAAACTACAGACCCCTGTACCCCAGCCACCACCACACCATCTGTTAGAGCATGAAGAGTGAAGTGGACGCACCCAGCCTCAGAGGCAGACGCACATGTGCCATGTTCGTCATTACAGGGCCAATGGTGAGGCTCCAGAGCCGCCCAGGCAGGGCAAAGGCCCACTGCCCAGGTGCCAGGGAGCCCCGGCTGTGCATGTCAATAAGGTGGGCTCTGGGGTCACACACTCGCCCTCTGAGCTCAAGTTTTGGGTTCACACAAGAGGTGCCAGAAGAGGGCTCTGTGAAGGAGCCAGGGACAATCAGCACTCCCAGGGCAATGTCTCCAGGGTGACAGTGGCTGGGGTAGGTGGCCCGCACACCTCAACGGAAGGTGCAAGATCCCCCTGCTGAGCACACTGTTGAACAGCCACACCATCCCACAAGTGAGGGGACTGAGGAAGGCAAAGCTTCATAACCAGGACCCTCTGCCTCCCTCCATGGCCCTAGGCCATAAGAGGGAAAACGAGGCTGCAAATGTAAAAGAGTCTCCTCTGTGGTTGCCTCTTGGGGAGAGGGAAGCCAAGGACTGTGATTTCCCATTGGGTCCCAAAGGCCACATGGGACAGGATTTCTGAGGCAGTCACACCTCCCAACTCCCACTGCCTCTAAGAGCCCCCTCCTCCAATGCCTCTGTCTCCTCACCCACCGTCTCCACTCACCAGCTGGGGCTGCACCAGGCTCACACCGTCCATCTGCCTCTGGCCTGCACCCAACTGCTCGGGTGCTCTTGCCCACTAGCTCCACCTCTTCCGCCAGATAGGACAGCATGCATTCCCATGTTTGCCTCCCCACCCTGGACACTGGTCACCTGGGAACTTCAAAGTGGGCCAGTTAGGGTGGCATCCAGTACAAGTGTACCACCTGGTAGGCTCAATCCTTCTTTCCAGTCACTGAAGAAGCCACAGCCCTTTATGGATATGACTGAAAATACCTTCAACAGAATACTAGTCAGTGAAAACAAGCATGTTCACTGGGATGTACCCCAGCATTGCATTCTGGTTTCATCACACAAAATTAGTGTAATACATGGTATTCATAGGAAAAAGCAAAGAAAAACAAAAGCACACACTACTCTCAATGGGGCACAACAGGCAGGAATATATAAGGACCTCAAAAAATCAGACCCCCCCCAAAATAAAAGACCAAATAAAAAAATGTGTACATGAAATGAATAGACATTTCACAGAAGTACAAATGAGACTGGGAATAGTGGCACATGCCTGTAATCCCAGCACTCGGGAGACAGAGGCAGGAGGATCACTGTGAGTTCAAATCCAGCCTGGGTTACATAGTGAGTTTAAGGGCAGCCTGAACTAGTGAGACCCTGTCTCAAAAAAAAAACAAAAAAACAAATGGCGCAGGGATTTAGCTCAGTGGCACCATGTCTGCCTCGCAAGCACAAGGTCCTGAGTTCGATCACCGGTACAGCAAAAAAAAAAGGTACAAATGGCCAATAAATACATGAGAAAATGTCCCTTATCTCTGACCATTAGAGAAATACACATTAAAAGAACCCTGAGATTCCATCTTACTCCAGAAAGAATGGCCATCATCAAGAGATCAAATAACGAATGCTAGACAGGCTTCAGAGATAATAGAATCTTCTACTCTGTTGGGGGAAATGTAAACTAGTACAATCACTCTAGAGCTCAGCATGGAGATTGCTCAAATAACTGAAACTAGAAACTCCATTTGACCCAGTTGTTCCCCTCCTAGGTATCTTCCCAAATTTAAAAACATCATATCCATGCATATTCATTTTTTATAGCAGCACAATTCATAATAGCAACATCTTGGAAGCAGCCTGTGTGTCCATCAACAGATGAATAGATTTTTTAAAATGTGCAATTTATACACAATGGAGTACTACTTTACCATAACGAAGGATAATCTCGAGTCATTTGTAGGAAGGTGGATGCACCTTGAGATCGTAATTTTATGTGAAATAAATCAGGTGCAAGATTAAATATTGCATGATTTCTCCTATATGAGTAACTCAAAGTATAAAGAAAGAGCAAAATAAAAAACAAATAATAGGAAGTAGGGAGATAGATCTTTCACAAATGCGGAGAGGATCAAGAGAAGGAGGGAGGGAGTGGGGGGGAGGAAAGAGGGAAAGGAGATGAGAAAAGGAATGAAGACGCATTACATACATGCGCTAATTTCACACCAGGAAAATAAACACGATGCACAGCAAACATATA